CCTCTATCTGCGATCAGTGCTGGAGGGAACAGCAATGTGGGCAGGAAACGGGAGCCCGATCCGCACTGTGGCTGCCATCACAGCGGGAGGACATTCCTCATCGCAGAGCATGTAAAGGAGGGGTATGGGGTTGGTAGGTGGGAATATCTCAGAGACGCTTCCTGTGTGAATACTCCAGAAAAACAGAAACTGACAAAAAACGTCTGTGGGCTTGTGGTCATCTGTGGTGCTCCTGGCGTCCGTGAGAGTCTCTGGATCCATTTAGTGGTTTGAGTGGGGAGATAAAGAGGTGGAGGCCTTGGAGAGTAGAGAGAAACATGCTGATGACCTCATGTGTCATTTAGGATGACTTGATAACAGGAACGTTATAAAAGGTCACGACCTCTTCCCCGGGGGCCCACCTCTCCACTCAGTGCGTTTTATGCAATAAACCAACATAAATTGGTTAATAATTGCAAAGTTGCAGGAAAATAAAAGATAGTTTTATAAACTTTTGACAAATATTCTTATTTAGCACCTTCTCCTGGATAGCCTGTACCTGTTTTAGATTATAATCTCAGAATAAACAAAGCTGTTCTGTGTAGGCCTCAGAGGTTTGTCAGAGAACCAGTACCAGTGGTGTACATATAAAGAAAATAAAGATTTTATGAAAACATATTTTTTTTGTCTCTTTCCAAGCAGTGCATCTCATTGGGAATAATTGTTTTTTTTTCACAAATTACTATATGTGGAAAAAAAATCAAAGGTAAACTGGTGATATCAAAGTTAATTACCTAATAATAAATGTCCAAATGTTTCCTTAGCCTTTAAAACTAATGAATCAAATCAACCCCAAATTAATTTATAGAGCTAATTTCAAAACAACCAGGGGTTGGCCAAAGTCCTTTGAATCCAAGAGAAAAATAAATCACAAGTTTAAATTGAAATGTTAAGCTTGATCGAAAGGTAGAGAAAGAAAACTTTTTTAAATCTCCACTGATCCAGCAGATCAAATATGTCAGGGCAGGTTATTCCAGAGAACCAAACAATATTTTATAATCTATCTTAAAAGCAACAGAAGGCCAGTGCAGAGAAGAAGGACAGCCTTTCAGATTTATGTTTTCACTTGTTCTCCTGGAAGTCTAAGATCAAAATTCATCCAGAAGGTCTCTATACATCACTGCTTTTACTTCCATCTATCCACACTGCAACGATCTAGAAATGAGTAAATTCTTAAATTAAGTAATTTCCCCTTAATTTAAGTAGGCAAATAAGACAATTTGCCAATGGAATGAGTATTTTTACTCTTAAAATAAGATAATTAGATAATGTACACTTAAAATAAGGAAGGGCAATTGTTTTTTCTTATTTTAAATGCAAATTGTCTTGTTCCATTGGCAAAGTATCACCTATCTCCTTAATTAAAGAAAAAAATTCACTTATTTTAAGAAAAAATGACTTAGAGATTTCACTTTTTGGAGTGCATACTGGTCTGAATAGAGACATCATCAAAAAGAATACCCCCGTAGTATGATGCTGCCACCACCATGCTTCGCTGACCAGATCAAATATATTGTTAATTTTGTTCCTGGTTGGTCTAATTCAGACAGCCGCCCGGCTCCAGCATGAGTCCGGGTGCTTCCAGACCTCTTCCATTTCCAAATGATGGAGGCCACTGTACTCGTTCAGAGCAGCAGTTTTTTGTTCCTACAGATAATCCTCTCGAAAGACCATTCCTCTGCCTTCATGCCTGGTGTTTCCACTCAGATATGCACAGGCTGGTTCACTAAAAGGTTGTTTCTGAAGATGTAACAAGAAATAGAGGCTTGAAATATGACTGCAAACTAAGAATCAGCTGGACTGTAATGTTTCATGACTAGTCTGGTATTGATACTGAAAGGTTAATTATTTTTCTTTTAAAATATTTATTTTAATAAACTGCAGACATTTAATGAATGTTGCACCATATCCCTCATAGATTTGGGTTTAGAAGAGTCTAAGAAGTTTGTTTTGGATAGAAAATGTGTCTCAGAAAGATGGGGAAAAAAAACAAACAAGAAAAAAAAACTTAAATCATTCTATTGTTTTTTATGGGATATTTGGAGAAACTAGAGCAGCAACTACCAAACTGTAAATATAACTGCATTATCAATTTAAATGTGTTTTCTTCTTTGACAAAAAAGAACCAAGAAATTTTTCCTAAATCACATGAAAAAGACAACAGAAAAATTTCCAAAAAGTTGACTTTATTATACAGGATGAAATTTCCTATCAAGTACAAAAGAGTCTCTGGAGTGGGACTGTTAAAACGTAGAGTGCTTTTTATCTGTAGTTATATATTTTTTTTCCTTAAGACACTAGTTAAAAAAAAAAGAACTTTATCTGAATAAATAAAACAAGAAACGCAATGTCAATATAGAAGTTATGCTGAACTTTTTTTTTTGTTTGATTTTTTTTTTTTTTTTTTACAAAAAAGAAAAAAACTAAACTGTACAAGTTATCGTTTCACCAGTCCCGGATCAAAACCAATAAGCTCACAATGTGTAGCACTTCTTATATAAAGGAGAACTTTCACCTTAAGAACAGAGTCCGTTTCGATTACAGAGGGGGAAAAAATAGTTTTCATTTACAGGAGGACTGAGTTGCTGGTTCAAATAGTAAAAAATAAAAGTACTGCTCTAAAAATCTGTTCTCTCTACATATTTAGACATCAATAATATACAATAGAGATTATAAACAGAAAATAAAGCACATAATCATCTTTTAACAAACATTCAGTTCAAAGACAGAAGAAGACAGAAGCTACATTACCTCTCAACTCTGCTTCAAAAAAAAAAAAAAAAAAGATATGAAAGCTTCAGGGTTCAAATGGAAAAGTTCCCATAATCCTTTAATGCATCGCCGCCCCCCCTTCTCTGACAAAAAAGGGTAAATTACAAAAAAATGTTATATGCTTGAAAAATGCAGCTATAAAATTCTCATACAAAGACTCAACAGTCGGTCGTCGCTTGAGGTTTGACTCCCAGTCACGCTGCCGCAGACCGCAACATAACTGAGCTGATGTGAGTGAGGAGGCTCGTTATCCAATTACTCTAACCGTCCTCTGAGGGAGAGTTGAGAGACGCATGTGAGCCAACCTGTCAGCTTCAGACACAGCTTTGATGAGACTCTATGAGGACGCTGCTGTACTTTCACACAAACTCATCTTCCTGCTGTTAACACATGCAGCTTCTAACCTGCATGGAAAAAAGGGTCAAAACAGACCGGATGTGGTGGGTGGGAGGATCTGCCCGCTGACCGTTTCCCTCCGGACATTAATGACTCAGCCTGTGAAAACCACAGCTGACAGACACAGCTGCTGTTCGCTGCAGACACACCTGAGGAGTTTACTAACAAAACGTCAATCTAAAACAGAGTAACATCCATTATGATCTCATGTATTTGAGAAGCTCCTCTTCACCTTTTGTCACATTACAACCAAACTTCCATCCTGTATCACCAGTTTGCTGGTAGAGCAGCTGGTGTTCATTTGTATTCAACCCCTTTAATTTAAGCCCACTCTAAGAACATTACAGGATAAACGGCATCATTTAGACAAAGGAAAGAGTTCAGATAAATAAAAGCAGAGTTACAATAAAATGTTCCGGTATTTTAACATCCAATAGAGGGCTGTTATTTAAAAAAATAAAAGTGAAGGGCAATTAGTGCATCAGTACGAGTAGTAGACAGGAGGCTGATGGTGACTCTGGAGGAGCTGCAGAGTTACATAATATTTTGTTCATAAACTATCAAATCTCAAAATGACGGAAACAATTCTAACCTAACTGTGCTGCTTCTAACACACAGAGGTGGCAGCATCATGCTGTGGGGCGGCTTATTTAGCTGGTACAAGGAAGCATCTTGGAGATGATGGGAAGAGTCAGCCTAGACCTGATTCTGAATAAAAACTGCAGAATTTGTTAAACTCTGCTTCACAGAGGCCATCTATCCAATATGACAGGGCTGGATCTTTTTTTCAGACAAACTGGCAAAATAAAGGCATTCATTATTCATACACCTGGCATCTAATTGGAATTCAACTAAGTTTTGCTTTTGAAAGCAAAACTTAAGTTGGATTCTAACCTAAATAATTTCTTTTTCTTAAAGAAATATTTTGATAATGATTCACAACCTAAATAATAATTTTAAATAGTGTTTTTTTAAAGTATCGGCTGATGATTTATCTTTGGCGCTTAAGTCTCACAGGTTAGAAGAACTCTGCTCTCCTCCACATCTTTGGATCTTTAGACTCTTCTTTATTGGATTCAACCTGGACTGCTGGACAATTGTGAAAACCTAAAAAACAAGCTTTATATATATGCCTGGTGTTAATGATGTGGCCTTAATTGTATTGTCAGTCTGATACATAAAAGACAGATGAGGAGAATGTTTGTGGTTGTAAAGTGACAAAGGCATAGGAAAACTTTTGTACGGGAATATAAAATGGGACTCTAGTTTGATGTATTTTAAAGCATAAATTAAATAATGTAACGGATTATAAGTGGGAACTGATGGACTTCTAACAGAGAACACAGAAGATGAACCGTGCAGAAGGAATCTGTGAGGATAGGCTGCATTCAGCATCCAAATATCATTTTTTCATCCATATTTTCTCCTTCATTCCCATCCTCCTGGTGGAGAAGGTTCAGTGTGGATGTTCAGCTGCCCTCATCCTGGTCTCTGACGGAGGAAAACAAACTCCTGCTTTCAGTCCTTTGCCCCTCAGATGGGTGGTAGGCAGTGTGACACCAATCAGTGTGAAGATGGAGGAGGGCATGCTCTCCTTCGGAGGACCCCCACCCCCCCACCCCAATCTGACAACACGTCCTAACGAATCAGAGATGAGACTTTTGACACTTGGATTTTAAGCAGAAGCTAAGATGCAGCTGACTGTAGCTTGTTGTTATGAGACCTGAAGAAACAGGAGGAAAAAAAACGGTTGGAAAACTTCTTGTTTTCTTTTTTTTTTTTTTTATTAAAATCTTTACAATATATGACAAAAACATGACTAGAGTAGAATACAAAAACCAACAAAACAAAATAAATTGGATGCTAGTGGGTCGGACATTTTGACAGACAAAGCAGCCATGTTGGTTGAAAGTCACTGAAATGTGACAGAATGTCGGCCCAACTAACTTATGTACATCTAAGAGCCCCAAGCTGAGCATACTGAGAACAGAAACGCTAACCTAGACTCTGCCATGTTTTTCTTTTTACACTTTCTATCATTATTTTCTTCAGAACATAAAAATAGTCCTTCACAAAAAGATATAAACATAAAATATACAGGAGAACAGCTGATAAAATAAACTAAAGATGCATGTTTTCAGTTTTTTTGTTAGCTAAGAAACGAGGTAAACATATCCTGCTGCTATCAAATATAATTTATGTCTGATTTCTAAATGTGTTGAGTAAAGAACACGAAGTCTCGTATCTCATATCCAGCCTACGATTCAAATGTTTGGTGGTGCGTGTGTAAAAAAATACTTTTTTCCCTTGAAGGCTCTTTGCTACCAACATGGCTGCATATACCAAACATTAGAAAAACTTTTGCTTTATTTACTTTAAAAATAAAATAAAAAAACCCACTCCTAATGTGTGGCTTATTATAAGCACTTTCATACAAAGTTTTAATGCCGTTTTAAACAAGTAAAAACGGCAAAATCCGCAACAGAAAATGAACTTTTTTGTTTAACAGTGACTCCGGCACCCAGGAGTCTGACATCACAATCTGCAAAAGAGAGAGAGAGAAAGAATGGATGGGAGTCAACACATGCGGGCGAAGTACGTCAGCGTTCAGAGAACAGAAGAGCAGGATGAAAAGTGGCTGAAAGGAACCAGAACAAATCGATCGGTGTGAATGAAACGATCAGAGATGGTGTCAGTTTAACAGACCATCGAATGATCGGGTAAAGACTGACTGAGGAAACAAACTGAAAAAACAACTCAGCTGATAAATGTGCATCCGTTTGATAGGCATTTGCTTCTCTTAATCTTCATTTGAATCAGGTAAAGCAGTGGTCTCTAACTTGCATCCTTTGAGATGTCTCCCTTGTCCTCCAACGCCTGAACCCAACGGTCAAACTCTCTCTAACCTACCCAGCCTCACAGAGATGGAGTATAAGATCTGAGAGTTAAAGGGAAGTTTGAGAGCATTTTAAGACTATGCCAAAACAGCTATTTATTTTTAGTTTGAGAAAATAAAAAAAATTGGACGATGAAAAAATATAGAAAAAATAGCAATTTTTTTTAGTTTATTCTATACTTCTAGGTGGTCTGACCAATAGAAATAAGTCTGCTCTGTGGGACATTAGCAACAGCTTTTCTATTGGTTCGTGCAGAGACCGCCCACAAGTATAGAGTTTGAAATCTAGAGATCAGGATTTGAAAAGAATAACATTTGTAAAACTTGGCCTCTCAAAAATATTAAAAGAAAAAAAAATCATAAAAACAGAAAAATGTAAATATTATCTAGAAAAAAAAACATCTGAAAAGATACATTTATATAAAAGAAAATTAATTGGATGAACTTCCCCAAAAAGAAAAATAAATAAATAAATAAATAATAACCTTTGATTTTCTTCTTACCAAATCTGATTGTTGTTTTTGTTTGTTTCATATTAAAAATGGTAAATAACACAAATGGTTTTCAAAAACCAGCTTTGGTTTCATTCATCACGTCTGGAGAAGGAGCTTTATTTCAAGGCCAACAGTTTAAGCTGTGAAACAAGCTTGTAAAATAAACATGTTTCACAACAAACAATGAAACTGAATATTAGCAGCTGATGTTATCACACAGTGAACTAGTTTATCAGCTGTGTGGAGACATCTAAAGAAAGTTATGATCAGATGTCACTGAGCTAAAGAAGCACAAGGAGTGGAAAATCCAGATTTTCTAAAAAATTTAATGTTCATAAACAAAAAGCAGGTTAATCCATAAAATGGATGATTAACCCAGCCCTAATTCAGAATCAGTTTTGAGTGATGCTCTCCCAAGTTTGACTATGTTTGAGGTATTTGTTTTTCCTTTAGTATTTAGGTGTTTAAACTTTGCTATTTGCAAAAATACTTGGATTCAGCTACTAAGAGATGGGTCTGAAAAGCTTGATTTAGTAATGCTAAATATGAAAGACAGAATAATATTTTATTACTTTTATCCATTTTGAAAAATGCTTTATCCTTATCCTCCTACTTTGCATTTGTCCGTCTTTCAAATAAAAACAATCCACTGGACCTTGTTTCCAAGTTTGAAGACGTATCGCTTTGCTGAATCTTGACCAGCATATTGGATGAACTTTTGCATGAACTTTTTTTATATAATTGATACGATTTTCAAAGTTCCTTTTTGGAAATGCTTCTTCAACTTTCCTTTTCTGAAACATGTCCTTTGCTTTCAATAACATTGGAACAAATTTCTCTCAAATACAGCTGCCTAAAATGAATGGGTAATTATCAGTTAATGGCTGTTTATAAAAAAGCAGAGGTGCTGAAGCAAAGCAACATGCAAAACACACAGAGCTGAGAACCAATTTGCTCAAAGATGTTTATCTTAAATCCGGATAACGCTCAGATCTACAGCATACGTGTAAAAGTATCAAACATTCAGATTTTGTAAAGCATTGTTTGTGATTGGTTATACTCCAAAATTGGGACATTTTATGACCCAATTAAACCCATTCAAATCAGATGGTTTCATAAGTCCACATTTATTATTAATCAATGAAGAATTGATGCAGAGAAACAGGGTTGGTATGAGCATCAGGTGATGACAAAGTGGGAGAAAATGTAAAGAAGAACAAAAGGAAGTTGTGAAGAGAAGAGGAACTTATTCTCCTCTACAGAGAAACTTCACTTTATTTTTCAGCCTTGTTTCCTCTTCAGCATCACTTTCTTACCTGCTGGCTTTGAAGCCTTTAAGCTTCTGGACAAAGAAGTTCTCCAGAACCTCGGCACACTGGTAGAAGGGCGAGTCGCTGGGGTTGTAGTACCGGCAGTTGTCGAAGATTTTGGTCATGTCTGCTACAAATTCAGTCAGCTTGACGTATTGTCGTTTGTGTAACCTCTCCTCCATGGTGGACAGGTCTGAGGAAAGGTTTCAACGCTCAGTTAGACACTGAATATATGCTATAAAACACATCCTAAAAAGAACCACCAGCGTGCTGTTTACTGGAAGAACAGGCATATTGTCAGCGGAGGAAGAAGATTGATAACCAGGTTTTAGAACTGACAGTGTTACGACTCAAATCATTATGCGGGGACTAGAAAATATGTGAAACTTCTTCCAGAGCTGACCTCGATCTTCTCAGGCTTCCGATAAGTCGCTGACATATTACCTATTTATCATTCCTGAGGGGAGCATCATTTCTGGGGGAGAAAGTTTCCTCTGAAACCAGAGGAGGAATAACCAGGACCTCCACTTAAGAAGCTTTCAGTGTCAGAAACTATGTTCTAACTAGTTAAGAATTAAAGAAAGATGTGAATGTCTGAGAGAGGAAGGAAAACTGGCAACAGATGAGGCTTCAGGTAATCTGCATGACATCCCAGAGCTGCGTTTTCAAACCAACATGTCTGACCTTTTAAATCCCCTCCACCCATCTGACTGCGGGCAGTGAGTCTGTATCAAAGTTTCAAAGACCTCCTTTTTCTCCCTCATCAGATTTCATGCTAAAGGCCTCCAGAAACCACCGGCAGCTTCAGCCACAGCAGTTAAAAGATTGCTTTATGTTTTATTTTCCTGCAACCTCAATTTTTTATTTTTTTTTTTAAATGGTGAAAGTGGCAGATGGACATGAGTTTCCAGGAGCAGGCCAGCATATAACCAAGTGTGGGGCGACGGTGCATTTCCACGGGGAGCCCAGGAGCAGCTCATTAACGGTTTGTTTGTATAAAAGTTCAAAAAGGCCCCCGTTGACGCAAGTCACCGTTTACATGGTCGGTTTGATCTGAGTTGGAGGGCTTCCTCCCAGTTGGCCTTCAGACGGCTGCGTTTTTAATGCTAAAGATACTGAGCGTGGGTGTTGCTTCTGGAGATTACAGCAATTACAGAATGAAAACAGCATAACCGCTGCATGAAACAACCTGATCTCATAAACACGGGGAGCTCCAAAGCTCAGCCTAAGAAGCGCAGCATTGGTAATCCCCTCACTGTCACCATCTTCTTTCTATAAACGAACGCACAATGCCGCATCAAAATATGTTGTGTCTGTAAAATCAAGATCAACAAATCCCACAAAGACTAGATGTTTAACAGCTCCAGAATCCAAGAGAGATAAATATTGTTTTCCAGGCCTGGTTGATATCAAGCCAGTAAAAATCAAGGATTTTAATCAGTTAAAAAGTTTGCAGCTTTTATTTTGAAATCATAAAGGAAGCATTTATAAAATGTAAAACAAACTGATGTCGCAGAAGTAAACAGGCTATCACAGCTTTGAATTCTGTATTTGCCAACATAATGAGCTGGTAAGATAATTCAACATATTTATAAGATCTTTTTTTATTGCTTTTATTGATGCTCTTGTGTCGCCTACATTTCCATGGCTTATTAAGGTTATTCAAGGGCTTTGCAAAATCCCGTTACTTTCTTTCATGCTACGATCACAAACCTCCTGTAGTGTATTTCATTGGGATTTTATTCAACATTTAGCAGTGAATAATTATGAACTTGAAGGAAAACAATAGTTTTTCGATAAAAAAGGTTTTCTGAGGAGATTATTTGCACTTCTGGAGTGCTTGGTTCTATACTTGCACTGTAGCTACAGGTCTAGGTCTTTGTACTTGAACTGGTACTCTTTACCAGTAACGGTTGTCCATTTTGCTTTGCAAATAGCTCAAGCTCAGTCAGAAGATTGATGAATAGTGTTTTTATTTGTCTTTCCAAATGTTTTTGCTAAAGTAGAGGTAATAAATGTAAATCGTTTGATCCAAAGCATTAAAGTTTGCCTGGTATGTAGATTTGTCTTCCTGCTGGAAGTCTGGAATTTCTGCAGTTTCTGTTTCAGGTTTGACTTGTATATAACTCTGCCAATCAAATTTGATCGCCTTCCCTGTCCCTTCCAATGAAAGCCTTCCCAAAGCATAATGCTGCCACCTCCATGCTTCACGGTAGGGGTGTAAATCACACCCATCATGCCGATTCAATTCAGCATCAATTTCCCGACCCAAAGATTCTATTATTTTTTATACTCAAGAACACACCACAATACGATTCGATTCATTTGTTTTTTTGTTTTTTTTACCTTACAGGCTAGACGATGTTTCAAATTTGATATAAATCAATGAAAGCTGTAATATTGTTATGCATTTTATTTGAGAAACAACAGCAAATAACAGAAGAAGCAAAGTTGTACTCCACCTAGGCCTATTAAAACCTCATTCACTGGAAAATAATAACGCCTCTTTTATAGATTCTGAAAGGCCTTGCATTAAAAAATTATGCAAGTGGAAAGAAGGGTAGTGGCTAAAGAAAGCCACTACCCTTCCTCGAAAGAAAGATCTCTGCTGCTTTTCGATGCCTGACTAAACAGATGAGAATATTATTTTAACTCCTCCACATATTTCTCCTCTTGCTTTCTGATTTTTCCTCACAAATGTTCTCTAACAAAGTGTGTGTGCAGGCAACCAGAAAACAGGCTTAGATCGGGAGTAATAGGATTTTCAGAAAAACTGATCCAAAGTCCGATTGCCTCTGATTTAAGTCTGATTTTGGGTTTTCAAGGAACAATCATATTTAAACACAGATGAAATCACACTCCAGTTGGCTCCATTTATGAAGCTTGTTTACTTCTGCTCACCTCAGAGGATTACTATGCACTGCTATGTTCAGATAGACGTCCCAATAAAATACATAGAAATTAGTAGTTGTATTGTGACTAAATATAAAAAAGGTTGAATGGTGAGTAATATGTTTAGAAAACTCAATTTCTGAAACATTACTTATCTCAATAAAAATGAACAAAGAAAATATACTTAATAAAGAATGATAAGGAATTTGGCCGCAAAGTGACAAAGATATCTTGACTAATATTTTAGTCAAGATATCTTTGATATTTTTTTTCTTTCTGCATTTGTTCAGAGTAAAAAACTAAAGTAGGTGGACAATCTGAAACTAAAAACCTAAACAGGTGACTATGAGCCACTTTATCATCCTTACATTTACAGACCTAAATGTCACATTTTCAAATTGTCACTTCTTACCCATAGGTTCCTTGATGACCTTGTAGTAGTCCGGGGCGTCATTGGTATCCACTGGTTCTAGGAAGGGCCAGGCCATTTTATGTGCCTGCAGAGCAGTGAGGTATAAAAACAGAAGAAGATGCAAAGGCTTGAGAAAGCTGAAACCAAAGAAAAACAAACAGCTCCATGAAAACTACACTGGAAGCAGGTGGGTCAACACAGATGTTCTACTCCAGCCTCTTTCCCCATTTCTCCTTCACACAGAGACACTGGGCAGAGGAGGAGAAAAAAAGAGGAGGAAGCCTGAAAAGTAGAAGAGAAAACAGAGCCTCGGCAGAGGTCCGAGTAGGGGAGACCCACTCATCTGGTAAGACGAGCAGGGAAGACTTTAGTATGCTTCTCTGCTAGTGTTGGACTCATTAAAGCGCTGCAGCATTTTTTTATTTGAATGTAAATGAAAGCATCCAATCAGTGACCGAGTTAAAAAGCCACTACAAACCGCTCACCTGTAAGGAGCGCAGGATTCTTCGCAGGCCTTCGTAGTCCTTGTCTGTGAGCGGAGTGAAGACCGTCATGGCGTCCTCTGTGGACTGACATTGCGGACACACGTACTCGTCGATGTGGTTGGCCTCGCTCTGCAGGATTCCCACACAGCGCCCGTGGTACCAGTTCTGACATCGATCACAGCCGATATAAAACCTGGGGAAGGAAAGATTGTTTATATCTGGTCCTGTTTAATCAGATAAGAGATAAAATCCAGTTCAATCAATTTCTTCTAAAGGTTAATAAATTATCACGCTGTGAAAAGTGAACTAAAAGAAGTAAACATTACTCCAAATTTACACCTATTTACGTAGGAAAGTAAAATGATGTTCCATTGCAATGTTTGCATTTTTAAGAACAAAACATCCATTATGTTACTTCAGTATAAACATTGATCTTCACACCTCACTTCTTTAGTAGATCATTTTACTTAGCGACTCAAATGAAGCACTAGCACACTTTAAAGAACTTATTTAGATCGATCTTTGCAGTCTTCATACTTGTGTTTCATTTAATGTTTAATATATGACCTTCTTCTGTCAGTTAGAGGGAACTTTGGCTGTAAACTTGGAGTTTAAACTTTTTTTTTTTTTAAGACGTTACAGTTTTCTCTGGTTGGCTGTTTTTTTTCACAGCTTGCATCAACAAATGGTTCATGTTGACTTATGTAGGCAAACACACTCGGTCCTTACTGGGACTCGTCATAAGGTGTCTGACAGATGCAGTACAGCTCCTCTGTGCTGCTCTCCTGACCCCCTTTACACTCCACACAGATGTAGTCGTCCATCTTTTTGGCCTCCTTCTCCGTGATGCCCACACAGTCACCGTGGTACCAGTTGGTACACAGGTCACAGCCAATATAAAACCTGGAAAGAGACAGCATGGTAAAAGCTTTTCAACCATTTAATGTTTCAGAGGAATATTATACCTAAAACAAAATTGGATGTCTGAAATCCAACGATTTCTGATCTTTTTTTAATCCAAGACTTAAAGATATAAGATTATTTTAATGTAAACTGATGGTTGGTAGTGAATGGAGTGTCTAATGAAGGCATAAATAGCAGCTAAAACCTTGTATAAAGAAGGTTAAAAAGGCAGAAGGCTAATAGTTAAAATCTTAGCAGTTAAATCCTAAATCAAGTGCTTTATAACTTCATCTCAGTACTGTCTGTAAATCCTGGACAGGGCGCTTGCATACTTGGTCTCGTCGTAGGGCGTCTTGCAGATGCAGTAGAGCTTTGGATCCTTCTTGCTCTCTTTTGTGCTTGTAGTGGAGATCATCTTCTTCTTCTTGGACTTTGCAGCTGCTACCGTTTCCCTTTCTTCCTCCTGTTTCCTCTTGTGCGCTGAGGTGACTGTCATGGTGAGGTGGTGTTGGGAGGAGATGCCGTGTTTTTGTAGCACAGCTTGCTGTTTCTGACTGTGGACTGCAGCGGCTGCAGCAGCCTGGGCCGCCTGGTGGGCTGCAGCCTGAGCCTTTTCCTTTTCTCTCCGAATTCGCAGCAGATCCCTCTTTAGCTCCTCCTGATTATTCAAATGGAGCAACAAAAATTTTATTTAAACATTTTTAATTGATTTATATGATCACATTTTCCAGACATTCTACCATTTTCTCTGCCTACCTGAGCCTCTAGCTGCAGCTCCTTGTCCAAAAGTGCTCGTTTTTTCAGGATCTCCATCTTAAGGCTCTCTTTGTGCCGGTAAAGGAGTGCAGAAAGCTTACTGGCATTGGCCATCCTCCTCTTGGCCTCCACAACTTCTTCCTTCTTCTTCTTCTTAGCTGCCTGCCTCTCATCTTTGTCAATCCGGTCTAGGATGAACTTCATCACCTGGTTGCACACAATCATCCTAAACAGAAACCAAATAAATGTAAAAGAAGAAAACAATGGAGCCCTTCAACACCCAAGTACCACTTCTCACAAGAACCGCCTCAAGACTGTTTGAAACTTAAGAGATCCAAAGGGAAATTGACTGATGACAGCAACCAAACAATTTAATTTAACAGCGTTATGGTAGCTACAAAATCCAACCTTTTTTTAGTTCAGTAAATGCACCACAAATACATTCTGGTGTGGACTTTGGTATAGAGAGAAACACATTCAACATTGGGAGTTTTTAGAATTAGAGGTGTTGAAAAGTTGAAGGAAGCAGAAGATGCCTTTGGGAAAAGAAACTAGATTTTGTAGAGAGAGATGTGTGTCGGTGGGTTTGATGTCTAATGCTACGTTCACACCTAAAGCAGCAGAGGCAGCTGCTTCATTTTTGATGCTTTTACAAGTTTAGTTTTGATGCGCAGCTGAAGCATCTTTGCTGCTCCAGCTGTGCAGTGGAAAAGTGGGTCTGATGCTCGTTGGGCCGAGCTACCCTATCCTTCCTTTGCCTGCAACAATGGCAGCTATATTTGCTGTGATCAGTGGGAAAAAAGTAGTTTGAATATGTTTTTTAGTGAGAAAGTCCACCTGAAAACTTCATCTGTGCAGTCAGTTAATCCAGATCACCATCATGGTTTCAAATATTGTCTCTGTCGGAGCCGCTCAGACCCCCGTATACCTGCGGAGCTCTGTCACTAGGAACACCCTATTTAGAGACCTTAAGGACCAGCACAAAAATACCCTATATAATCATTCTATGATCCCTTTAAAGGTGAATAATAGAAACTTGTCTACTGAGGCATTTAACCACAAAGTTCTGGATTTTACTGCAAACAGGTCAAATAGATTTTGTTCTAAATCATCCCCTTTATCAGTTATCAACCCTCAATCAGACAATGATACGTGGAAAAATAAAGTAAAAGTTTTTTTTTTAGCCATCATAATTTTACCTGAAAGAGTAACACTTAAATATGTGGATTAACTTACACTACAATCTGTCACTGTGCTTCAAATGGTGACATCAGTGTTCAAGCTGCACACTTTATAAACAAAGTTTATACCTCATATGTTTGTTTACATGAGATCCTCAGAGCTTCAGCAGTAAGGTAATGCCAATTAAAGGCTGACTGTGACATAGAAACAAAAAAATAAAATTAATTTTAAGTTTCTCTGATCTTAAAAATACGGCGGTCAGTAAATGATTGATTTCAGTATTATCAGATTTTCTGAGTCTGCGGGGTTAAAGTACATGGAGAAAGAATGCTATGTTCAGGGTCCTGAGGTTCATGCTGATTTATACTTCTAATTAAATTAGGGATAAAAAATATTAGTGATGAGGTCAGGAAGAAGGATCCTCAGATAAAGTCTGCGCTCTGAACATTATTTCAGAGTGAATGTCCGCTTAAGACACTAAATCCATGTTATCTATGGCACTCGGTTCTCAGCGTGTTCTCTTGTGTTTGCTAATGTTCACAACTAAGATCGAAAGTCAGAGCCAGGTTCAGTGTGTGATTGTGTGAAAAACACACCAACACATACATGGCTGCTGGGGTCAAAGATAGGCCAGCGTTCCTGCAGTCGCCACACAGAGGAGAACAACAAATGCAGCACGGAGGAGGAAGAAACCGAAAAGATAAAAACATGTTTGTTGATGTCATATTTCGCCCAGACCGTTTTTAGGAAAATAAGAGAAGAAATAAGAATAAAAACGGTGCAACAAAAGCGTTTTAGAGATTAAAAGGTGGACTTGATTTGATATTTCAGGTCTGTGTGAACAGAGACAGAGTTCAATCAATATTTACAGCCATAAACATACAGCTGTCAGGTCAACTATTGGTCAGACTATAATCTATAAGCAGGATAAAAAAGAAATTTTGGTGAATTAGATATTACTATTAAGGCCAAACTTTGATGTGTTTTTTAAATAACGTTTAACTACAAATGTTTGAATGGTGCTGCCAGATTTCATATTGCAAAGTAATTTATAGCTGAAGCTGCATGTCATTTTGTGTATGATCATTAGAGGAACACAGTAATTGAAATAAAGCGTCATAAATTCTCAACAGAAGGATCGAAAACACAGAAAATATATGACAACACCAGAGCAGCACAAAATAAATACACGGGTAAAATGTCTAGGGAAAAACCATTCTGACACACAGCTTTTGTTGATATATGCAGTGAATCCAAAGCACTGACTCACTCTCCTAATGGGCCACAACGTAAACCTCTAACCTCCCCTAATGACACCTTTTACTAAACACAATGGCCAAATCTTAACATGTTGATTTACAGAAAGGAAGATGGGAACACACCTCTGATTTTCTTCTCTTTCTGCAGGCGTCATGGTCTTCTTCTGCTTAAGGTGCTCAATTACGGCATTTTGTTTCATAACCACCTGAAAAACATCACATCCCAAGATGTCAGTACAGGCTGCTTGCTGGGACTGGTATCATGCAGTAGAATTTGCCTCTTAAATAAGACTAAAACTGTGCTTAGATTAACAATTATTAGAAAGTTTATACTTATGGAAAAGGTGTCAATATTACATCTAAAGAAGCTGTAGTGAATGAGAAAAACAAACATGAAACAGGAACAGAGAGGTGCTAAGAAAATTAGTTCCACTAAATGGAGGCCAGAGGCAGAGAGGGTAAAGGAACCAGATTCTCAGAGACGCTGTTTCTGTTTCTAAAGACATTGACCGGACTGAAAGGAAGAAAAGGCTCTGATTGCTTCCTGCACATACACACCTGTTTCTGTATAATGTCGCTCTGATTGGCTGCATTTAGGGCCAGCTCCCTTTTAGCCTCTGCAGCTTGTCTCTTTTTCTGCTGCTGCTGCTCTCTGAGCTGTTGGATTCGCTGTAGTTGCTCCTGGACCGAGGCCGTCTGAATCGTAACTATATTTCCAATCTGGGCAGATAATCATTAGTGTTAAGCAGAAATAGATTCAATGTCATTTTGAAATCCGGTTAGTTTTGGTAAGCATAACCTATAAGGCTCAGCTCGCAACTGCTTAAAAAAAAAAAAAAAAAAAGACCTCTGAGCCAAATATGAATTAAAAGAAGTCTGATTTGACCCAGTACCTGTCCTCCCTGAGCCGATGAGGTTCCACTCTGCTGTATCTGGATGGGAAGCTGCAGTTTGATGTGCTGAGGCAGAGGGCCTCCACCCTGTTGAGCCTGCAGCTGTGCCAGAACCTAAATGTGATAAATATTCATAAAATCCTTTTTAATGATTATGAACAGTAATGCTACGTTCACACACCTAAAGCAGCAGATGCAGCAGGAGCAGCTAGTTTACATGCAAAGTCAATGGTTGATGCGCATCAAGGCGCAATAAACTGTCCCGCAGCACGTTTTGAGCAGCTGAAGCAGTGCGTCGTGAGCATTTTAGGAAAAGCAGCAGCTGCTGGAGTTGGAAACATTTAACTTTTGCTGCTCGACGAGCCACATCAACCACTCAGAAAAGCTGATCTGGGAGCTGGCAGAGAGAGACACATCGCTGCTGATGATACAGATCAATATGATCACTCCTCTGAAACAGTTTATTAACGCCTAAATTAACTTAAAATGCTGAAATCTGCTGGCAAAACATGTACGCTTTTATTATCTTGGTGCCTGCAGGTTGGATAACATACATGAAAAACGCCTTCCAGCCGCCGTGGCAAACCGCCAGGAGGCGACCGGGCCAGAGGCGGCTGTTGAATGGGATTCCTAGTGAAGGAGCTCCACCGATATGTGGGGGTCTGAGCTGCTCTGACAGAAATAACCTTTGAAGGCAGGATAGTAATCTGGATTAACTGACTGAACTGATGAAGATTTTAGGTGGACTTTCTCACTTCAAAACATTAAAACTACTTTATTCCCACTGATCGCAGCAAATATAGCTGCCATTGTTCCAGCCAAAGAAAGGATAGGGTAGCTCCGCCCAACGTGCATCAGACCCACTTTTTCCACCGCGCAGCTAAAGCAGCAAAGATGCTTCAGCGGTGCGTCAGAACGCAGCTTGTACAAGCATAAAAAATGAAGCAGCACGCCTGGTTTTGATGCTCTCGTTGCTTGCAGTGTGAACGTAGCATAAAGTTGCTGAACTATAGTAAATAATCACCATGTATCTTTTTTTTTTATCTCTTTTTTGACTTTTAAAAGAAAGACAAATGCAAAGATAAAGCATTTTTCAAAACAGATAAAACATAATAAAATATACATTTTTTTTCATATTTAGCAATGCTATATCAAGCTTTTCAGACCCATCTCTTAGTAGCTGAATCCAAGTATTTTTGGTCATGTCATGTTTAGTTTAAACACCTAAACACTAAAGGAAAAACAAATACCTCAAACGTACTCAAACTTGGGAGAGCATCGGTCAAAACTGATTCTCATTTAGGGCTGGGTTATTCATCCATTTTATGGATTAACCTGATTTTTGTTTACGAAGATTAATTTTTTTGGAAAATCTGGATTTTCCACTCTTTGTGCTTCATTAGCTCAGTGACATCTGTTCATAACTTTTTGTGGATGCCTCTAAACAGCTGATAAACTAGTTCACTGTGTGATACCACCAACTGCTAATATTCAGTTTCATTGTTTGTTGTGAAATGTTTATTTTACAAGTTTGTTTTACAGCTTAAATTGTTGGCCTTGAAATAAAGCTCCTTCTCCAGACGTGATGATTGAAACCAAAGCTAGTTTTTGAAAACCACTTGAGTTATTTACAATTTTTAATATGAAACAAACAAAAACTACAATTAATCAGATTTGGAAAGAACAAAATCAAAGGTTAGATTTTTCTAGCCATATTGCCCAGCTCTATTCTTAAGTCTCTTACCACAGATTATAAACTGGATTTTTGGTTCCTGACTTTGACTAGGCCATTGTAACGCAGGGAGGTGTTTGGCTCCAATCAACAGCCACTTTGGCTGCGTGTTTGTACTTGTCAAAGCTCATGTGTTCTGTAGTTTCCAACAGATTTGCTTCTAGCATTATCCATTTTCTAGCTCTCTTCATCTTCTAAGTGTTAATAAACTGCCAATATGCTCAATCTGATTATCACACCTCATCCTGCAGGTAGACCAAACTAATTTAGCCCTTTCTTACACCTGTTTGCTGCCTTTTCTACAGCTGGTAGTAAATTCCAACAGAAATTTATTTCTTCCGATGATAATGTCCTATATTAAGACCAGTTTATTTTACTGAACTAATGTTTCAACTGGAGATAAACCATATGTATTCTCTCATTACGCACTGATAACCTAAGCCTGATTTAAAACCACCAACAGGTGTATCCTTTGACTATGTGATGCGCTCATCGCTATTTATAACAATGTAAACCCTCTAATCTACCTCATAAGGCTTGCTGTATCCAATAGCTATAAACACAGGTGCATACTTTTTACTAATTATACTTATTAATAATACTATTGTAATATTAATAATAATGCATGTGATGCATTCATTAGACTTTGAAGGCAATTGGTTGTATTGGAGTTAATTTAATGGTGTCAAATTACGTTTAAGTACTAAATATTTCAAGGAAAACATTTAATCATTACCAGTTATGCTTAACCTTGTTGGTGCATCACATAATATCTTCAGAAAACCCAGCTGCAGTTAGTCTTTATTAGTATTAGTGGTTTTATATTGGGCTAAAAAGAATAAAAGCATGTCAGTAAATACAAACAACGGATTAAAAACCAAAAACCTGTACCTGCTGTGGGAGTCCAGACACACTGATGAGCTGAGGCGTCTGTTGCAGCTGGAGCTGTGGGGCTCCCCCCTGACCTTTGACCTGCACTGAAGCTGGGGACTGGACAGACATGTGGGCCTGTGTCTGAGGGGAGGCAGACGAAGGACCGCCGGCGGTGGAGAGAGGGGTTACCCCTGCTTGGATGGGAGCAGCGGCCTGCTGTTGAGCCTGGGCTGGGGGATTGCTTGAGGCGGAGTTGGGCTGGCTGGGAGCCGATGTGGCTGCAATCAATAAAGCAAAGAACACGTTAACTAAAGCACCATGCGACCTCTTGATGCAGTAGCTCAGGTTTATTCTTGCTCTCTAAATCTCAGATGCCAGGATAAAAAAATAAACAAATCAAATTATCTTAAACATTTTGTGAGGCATTTGTTCTGTTTAGTTTCCAAACCTGTGCTTGGTGTGGCCGTGACAGTGGAGGGTAGTGGCGTGAAGAGGAAGCGCTGCACCTGGCCGTTTGGTAGTGATGCTTGCATGAGTTGCTGTCCGGGTCCTGGAATGACGGTGACCCCCTGGGGTATGACCTGGAGCTGGCCCGTGGTCTGACCCTGGCCCTGAACCATCACAGTCAGAGCCTGAGAACCGCCAACGCCGGCTGTTCGTTCCAAACCAGATCCAGCCTGTTGCTTCTGTGGTTAACAAAGATCAGGTATTTCTGTGTTACAAAACTATTGGATCTAATCGATAAGAAAGTATCTAATTGATTCTTTCTAACGTGCACAGACAAGGAATCTGGTACTGGTACCAAGTTGTCTAAGTTTGCATTGCTAATAGAAATCAGTCTGATTACTGAGAACATTAAAAGACATACACCATTGGTTTAGTGACCTGTAAAAGGAGCATAGCTTATACCCCATTTATACTACCCTTTTGAAACCATGCTGAGATTTGGTTCGAGCACGCTAACAGAGATATTGTTGAGTGTAAATTGCATGCAAAATTGAACCAGACCGTGCCAGACACAACCGAACAGCGCTAACACGGTACTAGCTCATCAGTAGATATTGGCGCTGTTCAGTTCTGGCTCGGTTCTCAGATAACAAAGAGCGCAGGAGCAGACCGCGGTATCTCCTTACAGTCTGCCTCCATAATTAGGAAATTTCAGACATTCCCTATCGTACCACCCAATTTCCAGTAATGATTCTGCTTAGCAGTGTCATAACCTCAACTCCTGTCGTTGTATCTTGCGTCTGCAAGCCCTGATTAGGCTATCATTTGTGGTATCCACTTCCCAAAAGCAGACTGTTAAGTAAATTCACCAAAGGCTGCCTTCTTCGCCTGACTCTACGCAAACAACAAAATATCACAATTTTAACCAAACTTATTGAATGTTACGGGCGCCGCCATGTTAATTTGCTTTTTTTAGAGAGCAGTAGTACCGTAGATCATCACTAGGGGACAAGGAACGATACTAGCTTGGTGCGTAAATAGACGTAAGGAACTGAGCTCGGCCAGTTAACTGATCCAAGCTCGGCCCGAACTCGGCACAGATCGGTTTTCAGAGGGTAGTGTAAATGGGGCTAAAGACTCTGGTATTGGTACAGAGTAGTCTAAGTTTGCATTGCTAATAGAAATCAGCCTCATTACTGAGAACATTATAAGACATAGGCCATTGGTTTAGTGCCTTGTGAAAGGAGCATAGCTTAGTTTCTGTGATGTCAATTAACTCAGGAGGTCAATGGAAAGCTACAAAGCTCCACTAAATATTCTGGCTCCACTCTGGTCAACTTCAATTTCTACTGCCTCATCAGTGTGATGGATCCTCTCATCTTTTTGGATTGGTTAATTACGGTGTCCCTCGGTTGTTAGATTCAATGTAATTTTAGTTCAAGGTCCAGCCTTATTATTGCACCATAGATGTTGCCTTTTAGAATCTGTATTTTTAAGGTACACAATTTCATTCCATTGCTTTGGTGATAACCTCCAGCATTATCTGCCATTAAATGCAGGAAAATACTCCAGCTTTTATTGTGCGGCTTTAAAGACATTAGACATGGGTTTTCCTTAAATCTTTAAAATAAAATTAAAACAAAACACCTTCACTGTGAGCTTTATAACAGACACAACTCTGGGCCTTAATTCTCCTTTTGTACAGATGTCAGCAGAATTGGTGTTTTTCTTGATGGTTCCACAGACCCCTGGATGAAGGTTACCATGTTAACGGCTACTGATGTTTAGGGAATAACATGTCTAGAGCTAAAAATTTTTAATTAAAACAAAAATTACAATATAATAGACATTTTGACACATTTTTAGTATTTACATTTTTCTTGTCTGAATGGAAAGTCAGAATTAGTTGGCTGAAAGATGAAACGGATTAATTTGGGAGGAAATTGTCTAAAAAAATCAATAAAGTGCTTATCAGGATGACCAAAAGCATCCAGCCTGGGAAGTAACACTGACCTAAAACTTAAAAAGCTTCAGGTAATGGTGGACGTCCATTGTGTCCCTGACAAACCTGCGTTAGCTGCGTGAGTTGGGCCATGGTAAGTTTAACCTGCCCCTGCCCTGGGGCCCGTGGGGTGCCGGGTGGTGTTTGGCCAGCTGCCTGTCCCGCAGCGATGGGGCTGGCTACTCCCTGACCAGTTACCGTGGTGACAGTGCTGCCAGCCGATATTGCCGTGGAAACTGGCTGGCCCCGGATGATCTGTGTCACTACCTGCTGTCCACCCTGACCTGCAGAAAAACAAGGAGATAAAATTAGGAGCTGGGGAGCAGCCAACAGTGGGAGATGTAGTTTAATTAAAGGTTAAGACATAATATCAGAAAAACTCATTTATATCAGAAAAAAACATTATATATCAGAAAAAAACATTTATTCTTGGAATGCATGATGCTGAATTGACTAAACTGAACTTGGTGCTCAAAATATTACCTTGCTGGACCACAAGGGGCGTGCGGAGAATCGTCTTTCCAACAGCACCAGTCTGCTGGATGGGGGTTCGGATCATTGTCATTCCTGGACGGATCTGCCCTCCACCCCCTAGAACCTGAACAATCAATGTGCAATATTTTAAAATTCAGTTATTTTTTAAACTTAAATTCAATGTTGTTAAAGTTTAAAAAAAATCACAAGTTAGCATGAATTATAAATATTAGGCTTTAAAAGCAGAATCAGGAGAAAAAGATGGTGGTCAGATGGATGGACATCAGCACTGGGAAAGTCTGGAAATAAAAATATCTTCTGCATGAACCAATCCCTTATGCAAAGCTGGAAAATACTCAAAACAAGTTGCTATCTCTTGTCGTAAGGTTTTTTGGAAATAATTTTAAACCATGAAACAGATTCCAGATGTCTAAACATAATAGGCCACAGTCTAGAGTGAAAGGTGAGCGTGTGGACGGACTGACATACACATGGACCAAAGGACAGTAAGACGTAGAGAACAAACACGACGGTAGGTTAAGATAATGGGGCAGAGAAAATATTTTTTTGCTCTCTACTTTTTCAAGCTGTGGGATGTCAACATTTAAGAACAGGTTAGAGTCAAAACTGGTGTGGGTGTGTGGATGAATGGGTGATTCCTTAATCTTCCACGAACCCTGTTCTAAGCCTTGCAGGTGTCAGTAATGGAGGAAATGTTGCAATCAACAATAAAAGTAACCCTGGACAGTTAAAGAATTGTACCATCAGAAGTGTCCTTTAAGTCAAACATGTCAAAAATGTGCTTTAAACTACTTTTGTTAATACAGCAAGTACAAAAATGAAACCCAAGTTTTAATGGTCTGGTCTTTATATGGATAATAGGGACCAAAAAAAAAAAATCCAACATAAAGATTTGTTAAATTCTACCAAGAAACCAACCCAAGTTAAGCGTGAGGAGGATAAAAGCTGGAGCTGTACCTGCTGGTGGGAGCCTGGGGTATTGGGCTTGATGCTGAGTGTGGTAGTGCGTGGCTGGAATGGGGAGTAGGTTTGGGCACCGCCTGCTGCACTGGACGGGATGATACCCAAAACTTTCTGCTGAACCACACCTGCACAGAAAGTGGAGACAAGCCTTAAAAACACATTTTTACGCAGGTATAAAGCGCCTTAAAATGCTAAAGAAAGTGGTGCTTTGATGGTTTGTGCTTTTAAAGATGGACTACATTAATTTGTCAACAAAAAATAAATAAATCACTTTTGTTGCAGGATTAATTTATCAATTCCATGTACTTTAGGCAGGAAGCAACATTAAAGTATTCAAAAGCCAATGATTTACTTATTTATGCCACCAGTAAACAGTTGCACAGACATCTTGCTGTAGTGCAATGCAATCCATTACTTTCTCTGTCTCATTCTGCTTAAGAGCCAGCTTTTGATCACAGCCTTTTATAAATATTAGTTGAGCAGGTAAAAGAAAATAAAAATCAAAGGCACACTGAAAGCTTAGTTGGGTTTCCCCCAACATACCCGAGTTCCTTCATACATTATGCACGAGCCGGCATCCCACTTCTTAGCAGCATTCTGACAAAGAGGCCATTTCATATTTGCTCCTGGCCTTCATGAGCTCATGTGAAACTGCAGGGGGAACTGGAAACCACGAGTGTGATTTTTCTGCTGCCGTCTCTCTGCGGTTCTTCAACCCTAACCAAAGAGGTAAACCTATACATCAAGGGCTTCCCTCTTCAAATAAAGATGTTAAGCCCCCTCGTAACGCTGCTAGTTGCTGCTCTGGTCGCACATCAAACACGCTGCTGTATAGACTCGCTGTTTGAAAAAGCTCGAGAAGTCTGAACCGCAGTGAGTGGAGAGGTAAACTCTGATTTAAAAACATGAAGGGGAGGGGGGGGGGGGTGGACGTAGCGAGCTACTATAGAGGGCTACCTGTCTGGGAAGCAGACCTCAGGGTAAACTGCTGTTCCTGCCTTACTTCCTTAAGCCATTCCAAAACAAACAGGGCAGCCAGCAGTCACGGCGGATAAATGCACGTCTATTAAACGGCCACACTCCACCTGAGCTTTAGAAGTAAGAAATATCGCATGTGATGCGTTACTCTTAAACCTCATTCTCTATACATGTTAGCCCTGTTCCATCAAAGCAGGTCTGAATTTCATTAGAGCAGTGAACTTTAATGAACCAAAGCTAAAAGCTATTCACTAATGATTATTTATGTCATCTAGTAAGTTGATCCATAGTTCTTTAAACAAGGTATTTTCTCTTAAATACTGACAAACCAAGCCACAGCTCGTTAAAATTAGTACAGGGAGAAATTAATGTAGCAATACAAGCTTAAATGTGATTTATTCAGACTGTTAAAGTGACGGGCAAACACAGTGCAGGTCACAGTTAGGGTAGATGGAAACTGATGACCCAGCATGGCCCTGACTGGGTCATTGTTTCTAGCTGACCATCGTTCCTGTCTGTGCATCCACAGCATGATGTTGCCATCGCCATGTTTTATGTAGAGGATGGTTCTTTCTGAATGGCATGTTAGTTTTCCACCACATTTACACTTTACATATAAACCATTATCTGAGCAGAGCACTTTCTCTCATGCTTTTAGCAAACTGCAAGCAGGATGTCTCATACTTTCCCATTAACAGGTTTTCACAGATCTGTGAACGTTTTGCTGTCAAAACATTCTCCACCTGAGCCGTTGATCTCTGCAGCTCCTACAGAGTTACAAATAAGGCTCTTTCCTGCGTATTGTCTATTGTTCAAGAGCCATGCTTTGATTAGTTTGCTTTGTCCATTCCCAGTTGACGTTCAAAGCTGGAGATGCTGTCTTAAAAAACCTCTGGCTGAAGCAGCTCAAATAGATATGATGGAGCGAGGTTGTTCAGACATTCAAAAAATAAATAAATAAATAACAGCAGCGTAAAATTAATTCTGTAATGAACAGGGAGCTTATAAAGGGATGGCAGAATAGGGTAAATATGCTCATGCTTGCAGGTGTGAGTCATCGAGCGAGCAGAGGACAATACAATACATGACAGAGATGACTTGACATCTCCCGCCTCCTCTTAATAGTGATACTAACTTGCTAAGGTGAGCTTCATCTACCAATCAGGGAACTTTAAAAAAACAACAACAAAAAAACAAGTTTGACTTCATTAATTTAGGGTGGAGGTCTTCAACAGGGGGTCCGTGACCCCTAAAGGGCCCACAGAGGTACTGCATGGGGGTTTGCGAAAGTTTTGGTTGATTAGACTTTTTTTTATATTCCCCCCCTGCAATTTTTTCCACTAATTGAAATGTCTTTATGTCCACATTAACATGAATTCAACACACTGTAGTAAACAGATAAATGGAGGCAGAAGATGTCTTTCAGTCATCAATGC